TTTTGGACTGTTTTGTTTCTCTGTTACATTTAATGTTGTTCCAGTTTTAAATTGTCTACTGAGGAAGGGGTGGGTAGATTGTTGGCAAAACACTAAAATGGTTTCAGTAATGGCTGAAGCTAAATGAGGGATTGAAATCATACTTTTTGTATGTAGTAAAATGGTACAGTTGAGGCTTGGTGAAATAGACAGTAAAGGTTTGTTGAACAGAAACCCAATTAGTGATGTACAGGTATCAAGTTTCTCTAAAGCCAGTTCCAAATCAGATTTTTAATTCAATTTCAGCAATAACTAGCATTGTACCAGAAAAGCTTGCATGCGGACTGCTGCAAGTAAAAATGGTAGGAATAGGTAAATTTAATAGATAGATAGATAGATAGATAGATAGATAGATAGATAGATAGATAGATAGAATAATGGGGGGAACTGTGTACATTAAAATTTGTCATTTTGAAAATGAAAGTATCTTGTTATAATACAGAATTTTAACGAGAAATTTCAGGTTGCTGCTCTTTTCATGTTGAAGGTTAAATTGTGTGACTAAATGTAGCTTTATAAAATGTGGTGTAGAATCATCAACATCAATGAAGTTAAATGCTAATTAAAACGTATGGGAAACATTCATTTCAATGTGTTGCACAAATAGACTGTTCAATCTGCCCTCAAATTAAAACAATTGTTTTGTATGCAAATAGTGTAATTAGACACTTCTTTTAAGGGATATTTAAAAGTAAGTGAAAAAATTGCTTTTCCATCTTTCTCAAGGAAAATTGTTTTATGTTAATCATGAACCTATACCATCATGTTAAAATGTAAGCCTCAAAGAATCCTTTTTTAAAAAAGTCTTCCTTAGGGCAATACATATGAGGAATGCAATTATATAACCTGAGGGATTAGTGTTGGAAAGTCATATAAAATGGGTATAATCAATGCTATTGTTATTGAATTATTGCTCCTAAACCTCTTATTTGATACTAATTTTGATGAAGGAACAAAGATAAAAAAGAAAGGAAGAACCAAACATTTCAGCAATATCACTATACAAATAAGGTAAATCATTAAAAAATGGTTTTGTTAGAATGGTTACATTATTCTACTTATCTGCCTTATTATTCTGTATAAAAAGGAGAACTTTAACTTGTTTGAATTAAACCAGAATTAATAATTTCACCTCAGTGTCCTACCTACAATGAAATGTACATCTGGGTTAGGAAAAGCATCACCTTACACAAAAGCATTTGTAGTTTTCCTCTCAACCCTCTTAATATCCTCTTAAACTTGGGATAACCTGCTGTCGCCAGAGAACAATATTCTCAGGTCTCAATATTTCTACATATAGAGAAGGCCACTTACTGTTTTCACTTATTGTACAAATTGCACAAAAATACATTGAAAGATTTGGCAAATTTATTCCAGGACTGAAGAATATTTTGCTGATTGGGGATAAGGTAGATAGTAATATTAAAGTGGAAGAAACACAAAGAAATGTTGGCAAAACACTATATTGTTTTTATATCCAGTGTTGAAGTTCTTCTGATAAGATAGAGACCTGTAAAAACTCTTATTGCTTGCTTTGGAAATAAAATACTTTTGTTTGTGGGGAAGAGAATAAGGATCATGTTGTACATGGTAAGAAAATTGGCCCTGTATTCTAAATGTGCAATCATTCAGATTTGACTTATATACTATGTTTTCCCCCCCTGAATCCTTTCTTCATGGGGGAACCATGAAAAATACTAATGTATTTTTGTCTGATGACTGTATTCTCGTGAAACATTGTATCTTTCATTATCTGAAAAACTGTTATTACTGTTTGTTGTTATTACTCTTTTTTGTCTTAAAAAATGAAAAAAAAAAAGGTTTGACTATTGTATAATAAAAATATTTCCTGTAAATTTTGCTTCTTTATTTATGACCTGTGGAGCCTTTACTGTACAGTATGTGTACCAAGTGTTCTACCAAATGAGTAACGGAAAAAAATAATTAAAGAAATTCAGAAATTGTAAAAATTTCCTAATTTAAGAAACTTATGTTATTCTGGAATTTGGATGAGACTTGAAAGTTGTATGATTAAGCAATGGCAGGAAATCAAGTCCTTCAAACTATTGGCTGACATCTGGGATACTTCCATGCTAGGCAAAAGGAATAGCAAGAATATCTATGTGTAGGTTCCATTTAACAATGAAAAAAAGGAGCTGATGAGGAAGAAAAATATATAGCGGATAATAAATTGCAGCCATAAAGGAGAACTTGGGAGACATGCAAATTGAAACCTGACAAGTCTAGAAGCACACAACCATTATAATAAATATTTATTAGATTTATAAGATTGCCAGCCAGAAATACTAGAGGCAGCTAGAGGATGTTCCCTCAAACAGAATTCGCAATAGCTCTTCATTCCTGTTTTTACCATACCTTTCACAGTTTTCCTATTAACCTAATCTGATCTCACAGGAACTTTGGAGGAGTGGTCAGAAGTCCACCCAAGGCTTTGTGAGGACAAATGCAGTCCTGTGCTTTAGACTGCATTCATCCTAATTTAAATTGACTCATTCTCTACACGGACAGCTGAATAGGAGTAGGAGGGAGTTTTTGTACAAATCGAAACAAGCATTTTCATTTGTTTTGGAATTAAATGGGACTATTTTCTTCCAGACAAAAAAGGTTTGAGAAGAAGAAAGGGACAAATATAAAGAATATAAGTGACTGGGCGAAGGCCCTAGGTAGATCAGGGCGGCTGTTCAGAGGGGAAGGTATACTGGGCCTTTGATAGTGGCCAAGGACAGGGAGGAAAGAGAAGACATTTGGAAGGTAGGGGTGGATTCATGGGAGTTGTGCTGCTGGGACATGGACAGTGATGACAGCTGAAAACAAGAAAGACATTGGGAAGATGGTAGGGAAAATAATGGGATACTGCACTGGGAGATGTTGAGGGAACTCCAAAACATAGGTGGCAAGATTTTTTTTCCCATTCCAAACCCATATCAGCAAACGTTCCAGGTTTGAGTTCTGCCAAACTCTAAAGCAACCAAACAGACTAAAAACAGGAGAATCTCCAGCTATGATTTTGTTTCAGGACAGAAGCAAAGTATTTTCCCCATCAGATGCGGTTCCCTAATAGATACTTCCTTTTAGATTATTATATGGCATGTAAGGAGTGGTTGGAATTTATGGCCTGAATGACCCTCCCCCGCTTCAACTATTTGATTAGGAGCCTAAGTAAATAGAAAATTTGCCTGCCACAAAGCACCAGCTCCTTTTTATTTTTCAGAATGAATTTGGGCCCCAGAGTTATCACAGGCGTTCTTAAACAAAAATAAAACCGGTGGTTGAAATTCCATGCTTTGTCTGAAAATGGGTGCAACTAACTGAAAAGTATGCAGAGAGGGGTGGGGAGATAAGCTAAAATAGCTGTGCGCATTCTGTGAAATGGACTAATCTGACAAGTTTGTATGCTTTGTATTAAGTAGCAAATATTTTATTTAACCTCTCAAAGTTTCAAATGTGCCCACCAGCCAAAAGGTTGCTTAGTAATGCGGTAGTTTCAGCTATTTTTAAAATGAAAGGAATGAAAAAGAACACTTTCAAGTAGGAAATCCAGTTCAACTAGAATATCTGGATTTGTGACCAGTTTGTGGCATGGCTTTAAAAGCATAACATCTAATTTAAAGCAAAGCCTTTTACCTTAAGAGGCTTGGCCACATGGCATAAACCCAAATAAAATGTACTTGCTATTTTGCACTTATCAGATGGATTGTGCTTAAGGCCACACACAAACTGAACTAGCAAACCACTGATTGTTTATGTTACATAGAGTCTGTAACTGGACTCCCAATTGCAACAGTAATAAATATAATATAGCCACTCACTTAGATATTTATCCTCACAAAATGAACTTAAAATATAAATATATTTCAGTTTCTGTCATTTCAGCCAGTATAGGTAAGAATAGAATAGAATAGAATAGAATAGAATAGAATAGAATAGAATAGAATAGAATAGAATAGAATAGAATAGAATAGAATAGAATTCAATTCTTTATTGGCCAAGTGTGATTGGAAACACAAGGAATTTGTCTTTGGTGCATATGCTCTCATGTACATAATCAAGGGACTAGATTCATACTCCTATAATTTAATAATTAAATTTCATATTTAAAGCAATGATATTCAAGTGTCCATAACATATTATAGTTCTTTATTGGCAAAATCTGGACTTTTGAAATAATCCAAATATTTGTAGGATTGCATTTAGAAATTTCCCAGCTATGTGCCCGCCTTTTGTTCTTATGAAGCTGCTTCTAGAAATATTAATCTCCTCTTTAAAAAAAAAAAAAAAGTCCCCATCTCTGGAATTTACCGAGATATGGCCAGCCAACAGCACAACGACGCCCACTAGTCCAGCAGATAACCTTCAGAAACATTCACGAAGTCATAACCTCCAGGAATTCATCCAGCTCTTTTATGAAGCTGGAACTCCTGTAACCTAGAACTACCACAACAAGAAACTCAGGTTGTCAGTCTTTAAACCTTAAAGCAGATGTTCGTGGGGTATCAGGAAAAGACCCCTTTCCCAATGTCAGGAACAGGCCAGCCATCTGCAGGGTACCTGCACTTGCATTTCTCTCTTCCGCTTATCCACGCCCTGGAGCTAAATGGAGCCTATAAGTTCCTCCGGTCCAAGGACGTCCTTACATTTATGTTCCTCAGCGCCTTGAGAAAGTGAAAACCGCCCCACGGGCCCTTTGGGGTTCTCTCGGGGAAACCTGGCTCACGAACGGTGGCAGGCAGGCGCCGCTCCTCACAATTCCATTCACCGACTCTGGAGAGGGCGGAGCGCCCTCTCCCGCGTGCCCCCAAAGTGCCCGTGGGGCGGTTGCCCGAGTTACACGGGAGGCCGGGCAGGGGGGAGGAGGAGTCAAGAGCTTTCAGTTTAGGGCATGATGGGAAAGCGGAGCGAGCGACTGGAAAATCACCTGTGGCGCCGGGGGGAGGGGGGAGACCCGCATCGGGCGGGGTGGGGGGTGGACGAACCTCCGGGGAAGCGGGTCTGCGGCAGCCATGGTGAGTGGTGGGAAGCGCCTGGCGGGAGAGGGAGGAAGGAGAACCGGCGCGGGAGCTCCCAGGACAGAGGAGGGATCTCACCTGTTGAAGTCAGGTGGAGCCGCAACCTTCCGAACGGAGCGGCGGGCGGGCAGGGCTCGCGGCTTACCTTTAACGTCCCGCAAACTCAGCAAGTTCCAGGGGCTGTTCCGTTCGCGTGGGCTCGCTGGGCTGGGATAGCCATCGATCCCATGGGAGGAATAAGACAAATTTTTTTTAGGGAACTTGATTCGCCCATTGATCCCTCCGATTGCTTTTCATTGCCCTTCCTGTTCCTGCTTCTTTGTAGCGCGAAGGTTAATTCAATTCCCATTCTGGACGCTGCAGCAAAAATCAATAGAAAGACAGGGCAAAAGTCGCTTATCTTTGAAAAGCCTCTCTTTGCCTGTTACTTAGTCAATATCAGGCTGGAAGGGGGAAAAAACAAAAGGAATCGTAGCCGACCTCGTTCAGTTTTAATTTCCTAAATTGACCACTGGCAGTATTTGCTAAGTAAATTTTAAGCTAACTCTCATTACATTACATTAGCTGGGTTGGCTGAGCAGCATCATTCATCACACAAAGCCAGAATTGGTGAGTTGGTGGGTTGGTTGGTAAATTGGTCCGTTGGTTGGAGATTATGAAAGTTATATAGCAAAGGAGAAGGACATCAAAAGTTTAGAAATACAGTAGGTTTGGGGAGGATCAACTCTACTTTGAGTCAGCAAATGATGATCAGGTATTTAGCTAAGCCATTCATCAACTCTAGCACAGGGAAGGGAAGATCATGAATGTAAAAAATATCTGTTCCAAGGTTTTAGACAAGGTTGTGTCTTAAAAAAAATCATTGTCTGTGGATCACTGTATTCTATGAACCCAACCAGTATATACTGTTTTGGTGTCATTCAAACTAAATTGATCTCCTCCTTTGAGAAAGTTGTTAGTGGAATAGATGATTGGTATGCTGCAGACATTCAAATCCCTAGTGCCGCGTAACGGGGTGAGCACCCGTTACTTGTCAGCTTCTGTCAACCTAGCAGTTCGAAAGCACATAAAAATGCAAGTAGAAAAAATAGGGACCAGCTTTGGTGGGAAGGTAACAGCGTTCCGTGCGCCTTTGGCGTTTAGTCATGCCGGCCACAGGACCACAGAGACATCTTCAGACAGTGCTGGCTCTTTGGCTTTGAAACAGAGATGAGCACCGCCCCCTAGAGTCAGGAACGACTAGCACATGTATGAGGGGAACCTTATGCTGCAGACATAATATGCCAAAACTTTCAAATACTCTGGCTCTCTTTCATAAAATGGTAAAATAAGAGCTAGATGTCACTATTGTTAAAAGATTTGCATTTGGCTGAATGACCATACTCTAAGAATGATTGTAATGGTTTCACTTAGTTGTGAGATTCCACAGAGCTCTGTCTTGTGCCTTGCTACATTTTTATCAGTGACTTGGATGAGGAAGCTAAATCAATGCTTAGGAGACCTAAAAGGTAGGACGGTTAATACTTAAGAGGAGAGAAGGAATTAAAAACAAAAAACCTAGACAATCTTTAATGAGTGTGATGAAGTAAATAAGATGGAGCTTAGTTGATAAATATAAACTTCTGCAACTGGATAGGCTAAAGTATAAGATGGGGAGACTTCACAGCAATTTATGTGAAAAGAATCTGATTCTTGTTGATCACAAATTTGATGTGTACCACTAGGGTGAATAGATGCTACAAAGGCAAAGGATACTTTAAGGTACATTTGCAGAACCTAATGTCCACATCATGGAAAGTAACTGTCCCAACTCTGCTCTTTCTTGATTAGATCCTATTGGAATACTTTGTACTGTTCTGGTTACAAATCAGTTTGGTCTAGTGGTTAAGGCACCAGGTTAAAAAGCAGGTTGTGAATTCAAGTCTCGCCGTAACCATGAAGGCCTGCTGGATGACCTGGGGGCAATCATTCTCTCTCACCCCATCTCACCCCACAGGGATGTTGTTGTGGGGGAAAACAGGAGGAGGAGGGTGTTTTTGATATGTTCACTGGCTTGTGTTTGGAAAAATAATAAATATGGAGTATAGATAAAAATAAAAAGAGCAATTATAAATTGGAGCAAATTTAGAAAAGGAGTATCACAATGGTGATTGATCTGAAAACCAAGCTATATAAAAAAAGTTTATAGATATGTTTAACATATAGAAGAGATACCCAAAGAAAAATATGGTAATCGTTTTCAGCTATATGAAGGACTGCCATTTGGAAGACAGCATGGGATTTATTTTCTATTGACCCAGTGGGCAGAACCAGAATCAATGATATAAGGAAGTATATTCAGACTACAAATGACTCGGCTTACAAGCTCTTGGTTAGTGGACTAGACTGTCACAGATTGTGTCAGTTTTTATTCACTGGAAATTTTTGAATATAGATTGTATGGTCATCTGTCATACAGGCTGTAATGGATTCTGCACTGAGTTTGGGGTTGAACTTGATGCTATCACCCACATGTGAAGTGGAGAATGTCAGTAAGCAATGGTTTGTGATACTTACAATGTCATTTTAATGTCAGCATTGACTCTACAAGGGGAAGCAGGAGTTTTGTTTCCAAGCAAATGAGGCTTGCCTTGACATAGTTATCCTGTTCATTCTATACCTTTGCTAGAGTTTTGTGTTCTGGGATTAATATATGAAGATGTCCAGAAATCTGTACTTCCTTAACTGATTTTATGTTGTTTGTTTGGTAATGTTAAGCAAAGGTTCATTTTGCTTCCCCAGAATGGACATAGGAAACTTGGTAAGACTAAGTATGGAAAGCAGTCAAGGAGAGAGAAGGGAAAAAAAGGGATGTTAAATATATGATGAGGTGACCAAGCGATTAGGATGGTTAACTACATTCTAAGTTCAACTCTGGTCAATGATCTCAATTCTTAGTCCAACTCTTGATTAAATTTAGTTCAACTCTTCAACTAAGTCTACTCAATTGGAAAGGGTTTGCCTCAAGGACAGGAAATGATGGATTTTGACCTTTGATTTGGATGTTGTAAATGTTTTTATTTGCATTGAGCTTGCTATATACAGTAGGGTTCACATACTTCATACAATTAAGAAGCCCAACTCTGTCTTTTTCTGAGATGTTCAGTGGTTGTGAAGAACAAACACAAGAGCCTAGGAAAAGACACAGCGGCTGTAAGCTGTTCCATGTACATCTCATTTCATATTTTGCTCTTCAAATTCCATTTTCTGCATAGCCTTAATAATTTTATTCTTTTTGGTCATTTTTGGGGGAAGAGGACAAAAAAAACATATTTGAAAGTTTGAATGTACGTATTTGAAACATACGTACAGTATTTGAAACATATGTGAAAGCACACAACCATAAATGAGGAACAAAACATTACTCAGATTTAAAGCTTGGGAAGAAATGAATGGCGCTTATACATTGTTCAAAAGACATCTGTCTTTTCGGTTTCGGTTCTTTCTAATGAACAGTGAAAGCTGTGAATAGGAACCACCCATACTAGATACAGTAAGAGGCCTGCCCAACCAGCTTGCTGATTATTTCAGTGTGGCAATTAAATCTGAAAAAAAGCAGTTCCACCCAAGCCAATTTTTCAATTCTAATTATATGTGTGAGAATGTGTTTTTAAGAAAGGGAACTGTTGATTTAGGATTTACTTAGATTTGCTTATTAATGTCACACATAGCATCTAGCACCTAGGCAAATATTTTCATCTATTAAGTGTTTTTCCTTCTAAACTAAGAACATAAGAGTTGTCTTGATGAATCAGATAAAACCCTGTAGACTAGCTTTTTGTTTTAATCAGGAACTGGCCAAGCTTTGCCTGAAAGTGTTTGCTTTCTCTCCCAATTGAAACACATAGCAATTGTCCCCAATCTGATCCCCTCCTGATGTGATGGGTTACAACATGCTTTGGGGGATATTGGAAAGATTATGGCTGCAAGTTAACACTTCTGGAAAGGATCATTTCTTCAAAGTATGTTACAATTTGAAAGTAAAACATTTTTTAATACAGAATTTCAGGGAAAGGCTAGGAAAAAAATTTTTTTTTAATTTAGCACAGGCTATTAAGCATGTTATTTCTCCTTTTGCATATCACAGTCTGCCTTTTGATTATTAAAATAAATTTAAATTGACTAGATTTCAAAGTCCTTAACTCCAGGGAACAGATAATCTCTGTAGAAGGCTAACAGAATAAACAGCATGCCATATCTGTGGGTAAGGTGACACAGCATAATGCTAGCTGAATAAAACAGCAAAGATTGATGCTCCTAGATGTAATAATCCAGCAAAAGAAATCCCTATATTAGTGTCTTCAATTATTTGATCCCATTTATCATATAAAACAGTTGATTATCTGAATTCTCTCTTTCGTATCCATTAAAAGATTTTTATCCATCTATCAAAATATATGCTTGCAGAAAAGCTATTTTTTTCTTTTCCTAGGCATTAGTCTTACAGAAGTATAGTCTAGTTATCCAGCAGTTAGCCAGTAGTGGCTAACCTTTTTGCTATCACGTGCGGGGGGGGGGGTTGCACGTACATGTGACCACACCCATAATTCTATGTACACCACCCCTGCACATGCATGTGTGCCCCCCCAGCTCCCCCCGCTCCTGGCACGCGATGGCCCAGTAGGCCTGTTTTTCTCGCTCACCGGGCTCCAGAGCCTTTCTAGGAATCTGGGAAGGGCGAAAATGGACTCCCCCCCCCGGACCTCCTCTGGAGGCCAAAAACGGCCCATTTGCCAACTTCTGGTAGGATTGGAAGACCTGTTTTTTGCTGTCCCCAGCCTCCAGGGCCTCCCTAGGAGTCTGGGGAGGGTGAAAATGGCCTGTTTGCTGGAACCGGAAGTTGGAAAACAGGCCGTTTTCGGCCTCTGGAGGACCTCCGGGGGGGGAGGCCATTTTCGCCCTCCCCAGACTCCTAGAGAGGTTCTGGAACCAGGTGAGAGAGAACAACGGGCCTTCCC